AATAGAACATCGGAATTACCTAATATACACACAGTAGAGGATATTCTGTCAGGTTAAAACCACGAATAAAATAAAACAAGTGATCATTAAATCAACATCAACTAGAAACAATGGCTGTCACAAGAAACTCCAATAGAAGAAACACCTCTTCAACCTCTTCAACCTCTTCAACCTCTTCAACAACTAGAGTAACCAAAACCAGAAAACCAGCCAGAAAAACCAAGGCTAATCCTCGTGTTACAGCAATTGAAAACAATATTTCTGCATCACATGCTGCATCAACATCTGAAAACACACCAAACTCAACCACTTCAGAAGAAAATTTTTCAACAAATGGTGTTCAACAAGCTGCATTATCTGCACAAAATGAAAATTTTTCTAGTTCAACTGAAACGGACCATGAGACAAATGGGTCAAATCAAAATCGCACTTTTTTCCCACCACCTGGATTACCTCAACCAAATTCAGCACCATTGTTTCCTCCAGGTTTATCAGCACCTTCATCACTTCCACCGGGTTTATCTAATAATACACAACATGGAACCAATAGCACAACTTCAAACACTAATGCTGCTACTAATGTCCTCAATTCAATGGATCCACAAACACTTGCTCAACTATTACAGTTACTTCAAACTGTTCAACAACCTCTGCAACAACAAAATCATGTATCTGATCAAGTGCAATTTAATGATATAATGATGAATTTTGAACAAACAACCATCAATAACATGAAAATAATGTTCAATTTACCAGCATTTGAAGAATTTAAATTAAAAGATGATAAAGTGAATGATTCACCCATCAACATCATTACAACATTGAAAGATAAATGTTTCAAACAAATTCCAAATGGGTTTTCTCAAGCGTGGTACTATTGTCTTGTGAATAAATTGCCAACATCAGACACAGAGTGGTTAAACTTACCAAATCCATTCTATACACCACTGGACATCAACACCATTACAAAATTATATCCAGCTGCATATGAAATTATCAACAAGCATCTCATTACCACCTTATCATCAACCTTGAATTTTCAATATTTATACAACAAGTTAGGAAGAGACACACATCCTTCCAAAGCACAAGAATATTTGGAACTAGTTGCAACAGTTCATGTACCAAATGTTATACATCCAATTTACAACTCTGCAGTGAAATTGACCAACAATTTTGAAATTCCAAATGACTTCCTAAGTTTTCTCAAAAGTAGAGAAAAATCCATTGAAGAATTCAAAACCAAACACCAAAACAATCTGGTTGCTGCCTTGGAAACAGTGATCACTTTAATGCTGTTTAATCAGGAAAGAAAATTCTTCCCTGAAAGTGACAAATTTATTTTGAAATTCATTAAAAGCATATTTCATGAGAAAGGAGAAATCACATATGGACTGTTGTTGGAGAAATTTTTGCATGAAGGGAAAGAAAATGTGTTGAATGTCAACAGAAACAATGACATGGTAAAGATCAATACAGTACAAGTGGATTTTGAAACACCTGTTAGCTATGATAAAAGTCAGAACAAATCACGTCAATGGAGTTCAAAGTTTAGTGATCAAAAACCAGCTTCATCAACAACAAAACCATTTACCAATCCCAAGTTTGCAAATTTGATAAGAACTGAAGGTCCTGAAAGTGGAAATTATTTTAAGTATTATCACAGCATACCATCAGATATAGGCCACAGTTCAATTGGGGATAAAGAGCCATATTGTCATCATTGTGGTATTAGACATGAAATAAATCAACATGTATTTGATTTAACTGGAAAAGTTTCATCACTTGAAAAGTTTCAAAAGCAACTCACTCAACTCCTCAAGTATAAACCTCAGGGACATCAAGAAACAATTGCTAAAACATTAAAGCTCATTAATGAGAACAAATAGCAACTAAATATTGTTAACACCAATGACATCCCAATGATAGATTCATCAACATCATCAAATACAACCACATCACATACTTCACATACTGAAACAGAAGATAGTATCACAATCATCAACAACAACAATGAAACAGATGACTTGCATCAACTACCAACAATTGAATCTAACAAATTTCAATCAGAAGCTGAGTCCAACAACACCAGATTCATACTGGACAGTGGTGCTTCTGTTTGTGTTACAAATGATGAAAAGATCATTGACAATTTGGAACCTTGTTTAATACCAATCAAGTTGGCTGATGGATCCATAATAACAGCTGATGGACAAGGAACATTGAAATTTCAGAACAAGGATCTCAAATGTGTGTACATTAATAAGTGTGAGAGCTACAACTTATATCAATCGTTGAATTATTGAAAACTTGACTT